CATTAGCTAGAACTAGCTAGATCTGATCGATATGGACATAAACGCAAGTGAAGTCTAATCTGACGGGAGAGAGAGAGAGATCAGCTGCTGCTGACGAGTCGACACGCAGCTCCGCATGATCACCTGCAGCGGTGAGCGGAACAAAACACACACTTCAGGTTAGAATATCACACGTAGCTTTTTTAATTACCTCTCAAACTACCTAAACTAGTTATAGATATGTTTAGTTTTACTGTCGGGTCACTCATTACTGATCCGCGAGCTGCATGATACTGACGGGCTGTCAGGAGAGGGAGAGAGCGCTCGGTTTATTATTCCCGTGTTATTGTAAGTTACTGTTCACTTTTGAATAATGTAGTTAATCTACTATAATTAGTTTTTTTTAATATTGAATCATATCAATTTGTTTTAAAGCACAATAAATAACAAAGAAGACCTTTGACCGGCACTTATCTCATTTAGTCTGGAAGATTTAAACTTTAACGGACATGTTGACCGGCGAAAAAATATTCTAACGGGAACTCTGGCGCCAACGGTCAAAAATGTTTTTCCCCCTCCCAGAGCTACCAGCGCAGCGCCCCCCAGATCTGGTGCCCCCCAGATCTGGCGCCCTAGGTGACCGCCTATGCCAAAAATCGGCCCTGCCTAGTACATACAGTGTCAATGTCTCAAGATTTAGCTAAAAGAATCCACTATTTGTATTTAGGGGAAACACTGTTGTATACATCTGAGACCTACAGTATAATATATTGATGAAAAACAGTATAATAGGGGACCTTTTAAATTACACACTCAGCAACTGGAGCTTCCAGGTCATTCGGTTAGTTTACATGAAAGTAAATAAATGAAACCACTCAAGAGGAGAATGTGGACACTTACTCATACAGAATTACATACCGAAGAATGATATGTTACACCAGGTAGATATGAACAGTAGGGCTGGTACACACATTTGTATAAAGGGTAGTACTGTTCTCATTTTCCGTCCCAATGAGGTCTTCTGTATGTGAAAACCTGCTGTAATGTGTCAAACATACTTTGTGTATCCAGCTCTCATGTTAATGTCTATTTTCCTCCAGGCTGCTGTTTGAAGACAACGACAGCGGCCTGTTCAGTGTCACTCTCTTCAGGAAGGCTATCGATGACTTCAAGCACAAGGCCAGGGAAAACAAGTAAGTTAATTTAATTTCAGAATTTTAATTTTTGCAGTGTTAGCCATCTGATACATATATTTTTTTAATTGCAGATTATGTGTCCTTCTTTTTAGATAAACAGCAGTATGTTTGAACATATAACTGTTAAGTAGGTGACCTATTCGTAAACAAAGGAACCGGCTTGTTATGCTTAAAAAAAACTCCATTCTTCTATGTTTGGCACAATTTTGTCAGCTGTCATTAGTCTCTCCAATTAGCATGACAGGAGGATCTCAATGTGTGTGTTTATGTATCATGTGACTGTTTGTATGTAGCCCAGTTGTCAGGACAGGTGTGTGTGTGTGTGTGTGTGTGTGTGTGTGTGTGTGTGTGTGTGTGTGTGTGTGTGTGTGTGTGTGTGTGTGTGTGTGTGTGTGTGTGTGTGTGTGTTCGCTGACAGCTGATTAGGTCTCTGCTGTGTGCCCTTATCCAGGTTTACGGTGCGTGATTTCCAGTACAATGAGGAGGAGATGAAGGCCGACAAAGAAGAGATGACACGGCTTTCCACTGACAAGAAGAAACAGTTTGTACGTCAGCTGTTTACTTAACAAACACTAATACAAAGTGGGGAAGAAGAAAAGCCAGTTTAGGAGGGAGGGTTCTTTTATTCTTTAGATACATTTTTATTTCCCAATTACATTTTTAATTCGTCTTAAATATTGGCTGAAATCAGTCATCATGGATATAAATATATGTTCTTGTCATATGCTTTCTGGTAATATTTGACGACATTTTTATTTTAAAACATCCGAAAATCGAATGTTCAATATCAGCTAGTTGACAGGTATTTTAACTTTATTATAAAATATTAAAGTGCTATTTATTTCCACCCAGGGGCCTCTTGTACGATGGCTGAAAGTGAATTTCAGCGAAGCCTTCATTGCATGGATTCACATAAAAGCCCTGCGTGTGTTTGTGGAGTCCGTATTAAGGTAAGCAGGAGAACATCCAGCAGCTTTCATGAAACTGTACAATTCATTAATTCTCTCCATACTTTGGTTGTCTATCCACCCATCCCTTTTTAATGTGGGTTTTCCTTAGTAACAAACTTCTTTTGTTTCGTAGATATGGGCTGCCCGTGAACTTTCAGGCCATGCTGCTCCAGCCCAACAAGAAGAACATGAAGAAGCTGAGAGAGGTGCTCAACGAACTGTACAAACACCTGGACAGCAGCGCCGCCATCATCGATGTGAGTCTCCTTCACACACTCTGTAACAATAAACATTGGTGAACATCATATTATAATGATGAACAAGTTATGAATATGGGCTACACAATACTAAACTACAGTACATGATCACTACTTTAAGAGAAATATTATTTAACCATTTCATAATATAATAATTGTATTGTTATGTTATATATTCAGCCTTTAGTACTTAATTTAGTCCATATTGTTACCATAATATTACTACCCGATTATTATGCTTAGTAAATGTCAGTCCAACACTGTATTAACCCAGGTATACCCATTGTTAATGCCAAGCTATTACCTGCTTATTACTTTGGTAATTATGTGATTTCACATGATTATTACCTTTTTTTAAGTATTACCCTAGTATTACAATGTTAATACCAAGCTGTAATGTAAAGTGCTTCAAACAAAAACCCTGAACAATCAGTCAATAAATGAAAAATGTATTGAAACATAAAAACAAAGAAGAATGAAGTGTGTGTAACTCTTGGTTCTCTGCTGTGCCTGCAGGCTGTCATGGACATCCCCGGGCTGAACCTGAGTCAGCAGGAGTACTACCCCTACGTTTACTACAAGCTCGACTGCAACCTGCTGGACTTCAAAGTCTAGAAAGATTTCCATCATCATCTCCTTTTCTGTGCAGTATGATGTGATATGTTCACATCCCCAAGCTTTAATTTATTTCCACCTGGTTTTTCCTGTTTTTCCTGTTTTTCTTTCCTTTTGTCTTGCCCTTGTATGTTCCTCTCTCATGCTGCTGTTACATTCCTGGGTCTATATGTCTATATTGAATACGTTGTTGAACTTTTGTTCTAAAATACTGGACAAATGTGGACCTTTTATGATCTTTGGCATTTCCCTTTCTACCTAGCTGTAAAAGGGCAATGCTCCCAAGACATGGATGACATTCCCTGTCAAAGGACATGAAATGATGCATTCTTATGTTTGTTTTTTCCCCCGTCAACCCACTTCATGCAAAGCATCAAAAACTATACATTTGGGGAAAATGGAGAGAAAAATAAATGTATGTTAACTATAGTATTTATTTGAAGCCTCTAAAATCAGTAAATAGGTTTTTGTTTGGTCGTTTTTTTGGAAGTGATGTGTTTTTAGCTCCATGTAAGGACTGTCTGTTTACAAGTAGATGTTGATCATTGTTTCACCCCAAAGCTATAATCCTTTCAAAATACTGAGACCTATCATCCTACAGTATAATGAAGCAATATGTTTGCTGATTGTATGCTTCTATAATATCTGTATATTAAGCAGTTTGAGAAAATAATGATCAATCGATGTGCAAATACTGTATTGTCCTTATAAATGAAAAGTACACCACCTATTTAAAATCGATGTGAAAAATAAATACTTTATGTGATGACTTTGGCATACTGTCCTTTAATGATATTAATAATACACAGAATTGTGCTGATTTAAAGGTCCCATGTCATGGCCATTTCTACTGATCATAATTCCATTGTTGAGGTATACTAAAATAGATTTTTAATGTGCAATTCACCAAACTCTCATTGGTTTCTCACACAGCATCTCTGTATAGTATGTGTATTCACTCTGTCCTAAACGGCTTGTTGGAGTTCCTGCCCCCCCTCCCTATGAGCCCAGTGGCCGTCTGCGAGACAGCGAGACAGCGAAAACCAGCCCGAAACCAGCCCGAACACACACACACACACACACACACACACACACACACACTCACACTCACACACACACACACACACACACACACACACACACACACACACACACACACACACAGACTCGCAGCCTCGCCGCGTCCCGCCGTCTCAGGCGGAGAAATCGTCAGAGCTGCAGCTGAGAAAAGATTGAGTTTGTGAGGAAGTCAGCGGATTGGCCCATTTGGACCAATCCACGGACGTAACGTAATGGCTCTGCGGACGTTACGTTACGTCACTATCCCCAAATACGTCACTGTACCCCAGAAGTAATACAGAAATCTCCAACGAGGTGTTCTGGGGCAGCAGACGGGTCTTTTCTGTTTTTGAGTTTTACTCGCTACAGGGTGTACTTTGAGGGTTTGTGACTTTGCAGACCGTTTACATGCATAAAAAGCTACATAACACACAAGGGGACGGGTAATAACCGGAAAAGCATGACATGGGACCTTTAAGCAATACAAAAAGTGCTATGTGACATGACATGGGACCTTTAACTTGAATCACATAATTATAATTCAACAAAAGCTTCCATTATAATTTAAGACGTTGACCAGTACAGTTTGACTGTTTTATAACAATTGTTTGCATTAAGACTTTATAAGATTAAGAGTCTACCTCTTCAAATTCACATACACATGTTGTGATGTTGTTGTCCACATGCATTATAGGCATTCCCAATGTTTATTCAAATCAATACGTTTACAATAAATAAAATGGTATATTTATAACTTATATAGTCTTTTATTTTGGGTCATGATAATTAGTACAAGTGCATATTTGCATGATGATGATGATGATGACATGAGCCGGAGTTGATATCCCTCTCAGCCAATCAGAGGTCAGAGAGGATGCAGTTAGATGACGCAGGTAGCTGTGTGTGTGTGTGTGTGTGTGTGTGTGTGTGCGTGTGTGTGTGTGTGTGTGTGTGTGTGTGCGTGCGTGCGTGCGTGTGTGTGTGTGTGTGTGTGTGTGTGTTAACGCTGTCAGCTGCTGTCGGTGGAGAGCAGCACCAACCAACAGCGGCTCAAACAGACCGACAATGGAGACGGAAACACGGATGGAGCTGCAGTAGAGATCCGGGGAGGATGCTGCGGCTGCTGTGAGTGTTTAGTCCGCGTCAGCTGCACCTGCCGTGGATGATTTTCCCAGATGGGTTGTGGGGGGAGTCGGGCGGACGCTATCATCGAGCCCAGGTACCATGAGAGCTGGACCAGAGAAACGGAATCGACGTGGCTTACCAACACGGACGTAGAGACCTCTCTAGCAGTGGCAAACGGTAAGAGCCTCCGCCTCCGTTTTATCTGTTTTAACTGCAACATCCCTGAGTGCATGAAGGCCCAACAGCCATATTTCATTTAATTTCAAACCTTTATTTAACCAGGTGAATCCCATTGAGATCATCGATCTCTTTTTCAAGGGAGACCTGCAGCAAATAAAATACATCTGTATGAACCAATCATAACACAACTGACATGGGAGTTTTCCAGAACAAGAATGTGGTTGTTTCACATGATAAACCTTTAACTGTTGTCCAAAGGTAAAGCCCTGGAGGCCAGTCTGAGGGAGAAGAGGATGGTGAACACAGGCACCCAGTGTGGGAAGCAGGCCCTCACATCCACTGGCTCCAACCACCAGAGGAGACCCAGACGCTCCCTGAGTGATGTAGGTGTCACTGGTAGCAGGTATTGGCATATGAACACCAACAGCCTCTGTGTGCTGGCACGTCACAGGATGTGAAGCAGCATGACCACTATTTCTTCTGAAATTATTTGCAGTATTATGATGTCTTTCTGTTAGGCTGCTGCAGTATAATCAACTTAACGAGGAATCTGACTCCAGTTGTGTGTTTTCAATATATTTATACCATGTAGGATATGCACAATGAGTTTTCCAATTCACTTTCCTTGTGAAATATTCAAGTTGACTGAAGCAGAAAACGTGAAGCTTTAAGGAAGGAAGAAAGGTCCATTATTGTCATGTTTGTGTTTGTCGTGTATTGTGGTGTGTTTTATCGTCAATATCAATGCCAAACACAACATTCCTTTTACTGCAAATCTGATAAATATTTAGTACACTGAAACGTTGACTTTAATTAAATGTATTATGTCAACAGATTACACATATACACATAACTGTATTAGGTTAGTTGAAAGCAATACTATTCAGTTTAAATACAAAATATTAGGTTCAACTTAATATTATAGCTTTCAACTAACCTAATACAGTTATGTGACATTTGTTGAAATAATACCTTTTATTAAAGTCAACGGTTCAGTTTTTTCAGTGTGATGGAATATGAAGGCAGGCGATAGATATATGTCTTGTGACCCGAGATGATTGCAAGATGGACTCTATGATATATAAAAATAAGTTTGCAGAGGCAATAGACCTACACAACCAGAACCTTGCAGTATACAGTGTCACTGTTGGGTTAGTGAAGTTAATTGTAAGACTGTATAAGTTGCTCGACAGAGGTGTAAATTAAAAACAAAAATCTGAAAGCAAGAAAATAATTAGTAAATGTATCTCTTTGTAGATGAAATGTAAGGTTTTGATGCTTTTCCTTTTTTGCATATGTCGGTAGAGTGAATATATTTGGGTTTTGTTTTGTTCGAAAATATGGTATATGGTATAAGTCTGTTGGTGCTTTGAAAAATTGTTATTTAAAAAAAATGACATGTCACCATTGCTAATATTTAATAGAGAAACAAGTGATATAGCAAATAAATAGCAAATCTGAAAGTTGTGGACCACAAAAGGTTCTATGTGTAATTATGGATTCATATTATATTTTTCTAAATATCTATGTTCCAGTAGCTTTTGGTCATTATTTTGTAGCTGCACAAACAGTGAACGTTGAGAATGATAAGTTGTCCAACCATGTGTTTGCCTAATCTTTTTATTGTGGGATTTAAACGACAAAAGAATGCTGCTAGCTGCTCTTAATGCATGTTATGAATTCACTCTGATCATACAAACTGTATTTAACTTTTCAAAAGATCTGAAAAACGAATTCCTCTGACCTACCAAATGGCATTTTCAGCTGCAAAGAAACGTAGATTGTTGTGTTTTATTTATTTAACCTTCCACTTACTGTGTGGGCAAAGCTGCAGTGACTCAGGTCTCAGCAGGCCTGTTGTCGACTCACTCTCTGTCCAGCGCAGTGACATTACATTGACGTGACATTCAAACTCTCACATCTTTTTTGCAGCAAACCACCCGTGACACCAAAAGGAGGGCATCAAAAGAAGCCGGTGCGCTGTGTAAAGATGGGCAGCCCGTCAGTATCAACACTGGTGGAGAGGCTGCACCTGGGGACGTGTGTGATGAAAGATGAAGAAAAACCAAGACTCTGCGAAGAGGAAGATGGCCGGATCTATGAAAACTTCACCAGAAGACGGGATGGTGATTTAAAAAAGTGTGTGGATGATCTTTGCTAGGGACTTGGTTCTTTACAACACAAGCACCTGCATAATGTCTCAATCCAAAGATCTCGGGATGCTGCATCTTTATTGTGCCATTGCAAATGCATGCGTGAAGTGAAGCAAGAGAGTGGATCGCAAACAGTGTTAACGCTCTCCACCAGGCTTTTCTCCCATGCTTATGGTGCCGGTCATGGAATGGGTCACTGTGTTAAGCCACTTTTAAAGAAAACAAGAACAGACCGTACCGTATGCACATGATAATCACAATCTGCACATCATATGTTTTCTGTGTGTGTGGGGCCTTCCTTAAGAATTATGCTTCAGTTCTTTGTGCAAGTATATTCCTTTTGTTGTGAATGAAAAAACAAGGATGATGCTGTTAAACTGTAAATGCTGTAAAGGATTTTCATTTAAATGACCCTGAAGTGCTGTTTAGAAACTCGGATTTGGAGGTTTGACACTTGAAGGCTGAAGACTGTCTTTTCCAGCCTTTGCAAGATAAAAAACAAACACACCCGCATGTGCCTACAATTCATATTTATCTGAACTGCTCCTGTTTTCAATTTGAGAGTTTGTTTTATTCAGTAGTATGTGTTCTCTTACATCTTCTTTTATGTTAGGATGTTAAAGTTTATAAGAGACCATTATTATGGATCGTAATGATGAGCGTTTATGTGGCTTATACACTGATCTGCATGTTTAAATCAATCTCAAATGCATTCAGCAATGGTCAGGAGAACATCGGGAGTTGAAAGAGAGAGTAATGGCCAGCAGATGGCGTTGTTGACCAGTCGGGGTCTCTGAGAAATCCCATGTCTTAACATTTTCTGCCTTTGATAACTGCTGCTTGTCAAAAGTTTTTGATGATTCACTGAGATGATAATGTTGAAATGTGTACAGGCCAACTTTTGTGAGTGAAATACCATTGAAACACTACCATATTTTTCTTCTTTAAATTAAAATAGTCAGTTACTTAATTTGTGAAATCCAAAAAAACAAGTGAGATGTGCAGTCATTTCTACTTAGCTTCTGGTGTTTACTCTCAGAATGAACTATTATTTTGTTTAAATAGTTGTCAGTGAAATATTAATCATTTGGAATAGATTAGGTCTATAAATTACAAGTGAGTATATGTAAGATCTGAATGACAATATGAAACAATAAGATAAATAGTCATTTTCATTAAACTGCCATAATATCTATGATAATCAGAATATTGGAGCTACATAACTAGAAGGTGATATAGCTTTGGTGAATAAATAATAATAATATTACATTTCATTTGGAGGTGCCTTTCATGAAACTCAAAGACACCTTATATTGCATAAAAGAAATGCTCTAAAATGTCAAAACATGACGGAAACATAAGCAGGACTAACATAAGAATAGACTTTCTTCATAAATCAGACATGTATGGTGGTTAGGGTGGACATGGACAGTAGCATTCAGATGAAGAGGATTAAAACATGTGTAGCTAATAAGGCAGGCCAGATGTGTAATTGTGTAAATATGGAAGCAAAAACATATACATCTACAAGTAATTTAAGAATGGCATTTATCTATCTTGCAAAAAAATAAGTAGTTTGCATCTGATGTGCTATTTAACCATTCAATTCGCAATTATAATGTGTCCTCTAACCAGTGGTGTTAAGTAACTAATTACAATTCAGTCTTTCCATTTTATATTACTTTGTACTTCTACTCCATAACAATTAATAGGATAATATTGTACTTTTACTCCACTACATATATGTAGTAGCCTACATTTAGTTACTTAGCAGATATAGAAAATGTTTTATGAACACTATGATCACTTAAATAAGACTTATTTATTAAATTATAGTCACATGCTACCCAGCAGAGAGGCGAAGTCCCTCCCCTTCCGGGGAATTACACATATGTTTGTCAATTTAAAAGATCATTTTGCAAGTCAAAAAAGTTTGTAGTCTTTCTAGTTGCGTATTTTTCATAGTCTTATATTTCAACAGTTTTACGACAAACTGTGAATTTTTTGACATGGAAATTAGTTTTTAAGATTGACAAACATATGTGTAATTCGTGGCACAATTCAAACGGGATCGAAAGATACGTTTTCTCTCTCCATTGACTTCAATACATACTTTTTTCCGAAATAAGGTCCCATGGAGGTCTCCGGAAGGGGAGGGACTTCGCCTCTATTAAAATGAAAACACCTGATACCGGAAATTGTGTTAGCCTACAAAAATATCGATTTCCGCCCGCCACGAGTCCTGCGCAGTTAGCCGGCAGGCACTGAGACCACGCGGAACGTGCTGTCGGCTCGCTGTGGTTATCCGTCCGTTGGTGCTCTTCGTTCACACGGGAGCGTAAAACAGCTGACTAACGTCTCACTGCGTAGCTCAGCGACTCACTAATATTAATTCATATCTCCCTTTCGGATATTTTCTCTCAAACGTTTGCGGTTATAATGAGGTGAGGATGGCTAAGCGACCGGGGACCGACGACGGGATGTTGCCTTCACCGACCGCTTTCCGGGACTTCGCAGCCGGGGACGTGAACATGGAATGCGGTGACGGAGAGGCAGAGGTCTCCCTGGAAGAGATCCTGAAGCTGTACAGCCAGCCGATAAACGAGGAGCAGGCATGGGCAGTGTTTTATCAGTGTGGTCGGACTTTAGCGCAGAAACATCGGAGGAAAAGCTCCAAGTCTACCGGGGCTTCACCCGTCTCCTATCCGAGGAAGATCGAGGGACCCGGGGATGTGAGGATCGCTAGAGACGGGACTGTGAAACTGCGCTTTGAAGACAGCACAGGTAAACGAACCGAGAGCAGGTGTTGCTCTTGTCTGGTTTGAGCTATTGCCATCTCAACAGGTTGCTATCAATGAAGCCTTTTTTCTTCACATCCCTCGCAGGCCACAGGATCAGAGCATCCTTACAAAGAGGCCATATTGTTGTGGCTGTCCGCTTCCAGCCATGTGGTGAAATGTTTACGGGCAGCACGATGCGGTTATTAAAAATACATCACATATCACCGCATAGCTGCTGGGGACCATGAAGACAAAGGGAGCTGTTTTGTCAATAATTGACGGACAGTGTTTGTTCTCGGAACATAATCCAATATTTTCATTTAAATGCATGTTATCTCTTCGTTTACTCGGGTAAGTTGCAGGGCTGGCTCGGGATGGCTGCTTGGTTGAGTTTGTTTTTCCTGCAGCGGTCGGTTAGCTACAGTAAACAATGAGCCATGTGATGGATTCAAACTGCAAAGCACCTTGGGCCCAGTCCAGAGCCAAGCAGTATAGCCAGCATTTAGGCTACAGTGAAACAGCTGGCACAAATCCAAACACAAATAACTCCTATTATTGCCAACAGCCCCATAATATGTTATTGCGGACGGATGGCTACAATCACAGATAAAGGGGGAGGAGAGCAGGTTCTTTTTGTGGCCTGCAAGCACCTGAGGGAGATTTTTTTGTAAGGGGTTAACCATGCATATGGGCTCCATTTAATTGTGATCAATGAGTTTTGAGCTCCAGCTTTAAATTATAAACATTTAAAACTATAAGTCCATGGACAGAAACCTTTTCAAGCAACATTGTCATAATTTCAGCTGCCAGCTCTACAATGCTTGCATTTCAATTAATTTCAATGTAGCCTTAATATCCCAGGAGGGCACATCTGGTGCAGCATAAACAGAAAACATACTCTACATACAGCCAACAACAAAATCAATATCACCAACAAAAATCATACTTAACATTATGGCAAAAAAGTGCAATGACCAACCATAGCTTGTGGGTTTTTATGATGGTAGGATGATCACTTTGGGTTTTATACCATTTGTTAACCAAAAAAGCTCTATGAAGACTATCTTCTATTATTATCTATTACACTCAGTTGTAGCCCTATTGTACCTGGCAGCAGGCTATACCTGTCCGACCTCTTGGGTAATTGTTATATGATTCATGATATCTGAGGGAACTATCATTCTCACCACATTATTTTTGTTTTCATTTACATTTTTTTTAAATGATCAGAGACCACCTGGTAACTTATTAAAGCGGCCTCCAGCAGGAATATCTTAGTTCACCACTCCAGGTGTACACAGCGCCTCAAAGCCCTTTAACTGCATTCCATTAATATGTGAGAGATAGCTGGGTGTGACAGAAGGTGTGGCTGTCAATAAAGCCTGAGGCACCGATGTTATATCCCATCTCTCATGGGAACTTATTAGCCACCTTTCTTCTTATTTCCCCCTCCCCTGTGGAAACCCCCACTTACAATCCCTGTCTTTGGCTATCCTTTCAAACCAGCTCTCCCTCCTCTTAGGTGCTGTTTACACAAGAACGCAAACGGTTGTATCCGCTACTTTTCTCTTTCGTATTGCCTGTTCGTTCACATGAGGCCATAACGGAAACGCGGAAACGGACCCCGCAAACGATAAAGGGTCCCAAGGTGGATAGATCTGCAAACGGAACGCTCTTGGGGGCCAAACGGCTCAGTGTGTACTACACCCTATACGATAATTTCCTGATAACAATGAAACCATAGCACCACCCCTCCCCACCTCTGCTGCTCACTGCTGTAGCATGGTCAGTACCTACTGCTACTGCTACAGATGTTAGTACAAAATCTCCAGCTCGACCATGCTACAGATGTTAGTGCAAAATCTACAGCTCCTCTACCACAACAATCAGCAACAAGTGGACATGGAGAATTACTTGAACTACATGTTGCTAAATCCACCGCGGGGCATAAACAGAAGACCAACCATGGCAACCATGCTCGGGGGTCTTCTTCGCTGCTTTTGGTGTATTTTGTGGCGCCACTTACAGGCCCGGCATATATACTACAGCGTCTCCAGCGCTTTCGAGTCGTCTCGTGTGAACGGAAGACTTTTTTGCAATCGTATTCTGTTTGTTTGCGTTTCGTATGCGTTTTGAGTTAGCGTGTAAATGGGGTCTTAGCATATTCAGCCACCCAGTAATGTTAGCAGAAATTACACTCTCAGTATAAACACATTTTGCCAGTGTTGCTGAGAGTCTCGACACTCCTAAAAATAGAATAAATGTGATAGTTGGATGCACACACTTTAGAAGTATAACTGCAGACGAGTTTGGGAAATTATAAGTGGAGTCGTCTGCTGCTCCTGTGGTGAGTTGCTGAGGTATTTTGAGACAGCTTGGCCTTGTCCTGATTCTTATTAACTCTGGTGATGAGAGAGAAGTGTGACCTATTAGGCTTTTGGTAGCTTTGCGGCAACTTTCAGAGGTTCCAGCAGAAAATCATTGCTTATCTAATTTACCTATTGCCTGGTACATGAGTCAGTGACAAGAATGCATTTTTTGTCAAGCACCCAGACCAGCATGACTGGGGCTTTCAGGTCAGTCCTCCTATCTTACTGCTTGTACCAAGATGTCATCTAGAGCCAAACACTGCAGGAAGCGTGTATCACTGTAATGTTGGGCACATTTTTATCAGAAATGCAGTTAAACAGAGTCGAAGTAAGGTGTTTATTTAAGGCTAAATTGATGCACGATGAGCGCTGATGCTGCTGCAGGCAGATCAATTCAAATGGAGCACCGTGAAGAATATATTGACTCCCACTCGAGCCTGGAGAAGGGCCTGAATGAAGCCTTGATGCTGCATGAAGATGAGACATTTGTTTACCCCAAGAGTTTCAATGATTCATACCTACAGTACAGTGCAGATAAAAGTTTGTGTTGCTTAAGTTTGGTGCACACAGTATTATAAATAGAATGTTATTCATACAGTTGTTAATAATGTCCTTGAAGCGGTTTAAATAAGGACAAAACATATCTTCGGTTGTATCTTTTGTTCTTCATTGATTCGATTATAGTAGAGACTTCTCTTTAACCGTTTTGTATTCAGCAGCACAGCGGTTGATATTTTTTCTGAATGGGATAGTCTGGGCGACACTGCTCACTGCTCCGAATATGCCCACTCTGATTTCCTCGCTGCAGGAGAGACGAGGCCAAGCCAATCCTTCTCTGCTTGGCTGGGACAAACAGAGGTCTCAGTGTTTTCCAAATGAGCGTTGGTGGAAGACTGTTTATTTTCCTCTCGTCTGTTAGCTGTAATTCAGTGAACTGAGCAGAACCGAGCTACACTGTGGAACAAATATTTTCTACATACATACATATATATATATATATGTATGTATGTATGTATGTATGTATGTATGTATGTATGTATGTATGTATGTATGTATATATAGTATGTGTGTGTGTGTATATATATATATATATATATGTATGTAACGTAAGCAGTTAGATTTGTACTATTGATTGCTAACACTCAAACACTTCCTCAATTGATGCAATTAAAACTGAACTGGTACCTATATTATCATTTAGAGATGACACATGTGGCCAAAGTGTCTTATTTATATGCAATGACATAATTTTACACTCTGGTCCGTTGTCAAAGTCTGCAGATCTCTCTAGTATCTATATGTACTTTCACCCCTGACGATACTCTTACCGGCAGTTACCCTGTCTTCCAAGTAGAGCTGCATGATATGAGGAAAATATTCAATTTAATGTTGTTAAATATCAGGATCACAATATTACTTGTGTTAAAAACACAGATATTAAACTCGACCCTTCTGCTGAATTCTATAGACTGCTGAAAATACAACACATTGCTTGTTCAATAAAAAAAAGCAAAGAACTGATTTCCAACATGTTTTTATTGAACAAATTACACATTGAACTGAAAATAAAAGGAACCAATAAAAAAAGAAAAACATTTTATAGTATAGTTTTGATGTGCTACTGATTACTTTCTTTTTACAAAAAAAACATACCATAGCAAAATCACAGTCTGTTAGGAGCTGTTCGGGCAAGTTCGTCGCTATTTCTACTATTGCTTATCAAAGCGTATTTATTTATTAAAACAAGAGAGCTTATCTGTGTGTACTATGGAAGCTCCTACATGGAACTCTAGAGGTACAGGTGTGTCGGAACAGAAGATAAGATTGTCTCAGCTTTCGTTTTATCATTGTTCGATCGGCGAAAGAGAAACTTCAGGTTTTTCCAGTCTATTTAGGCTCCTGTGATTTGTTTTACAATGAATAGAGGGCAATGTCTTTCTCCCGGTTGAAGAGGAACAGTCTTATCGACAACCAGCACCCAATGGCAGGTTTTGACAATTTGCCTCAGGCGGTGTGCAGTGACTGCAGAGAAAACATAATCATTTATTCACCAAGTTGTGTGAAGCACTTCCGCACAATTGTGCTTCTCAGCCCTGCTTGCATTAATTCTCTTTTCTTTTTGAAGTTTAATATTTTATGATATCTAACACTGTGTGAAGCATGTGTCCTCTCTGTGTCCTCTCTGCATAATGAAATGTCGGCACATTTAATAACTGTCTTTATGGCTGTGGATAACCCTCTCCATTTTCTCTCATTACAGATACATACCAACCGGCCCCGACGTCATTAGAGGTAAGTCTCCCGTCACACTCTCCTTAGTCACTCTTCATTCCTGGTTTTAGGAAATGATAGTTTTCCTTTACAACAAGTGCTGGAAGAGCAGTTTTCTTTTAGTTGTGGAGTAGTTTTATTTCTCTCAAGATAAAGTATGCAGTATATAAAAACAAACTGGAATTTTAATTTAGTCATCAGATTTATTTTTCGCTCCATAACTCTCTTGCATTATTGACTTCACTTATGACAAAACAATTTCAGAAACAGTTTTCACAGCTTGCTCATCACTGAATCTAATAGTGATCACAACAAGTGGGCTGGTGCAGCCACTGTGTCGCAATATTGTTGACCACACTCATCACCAAAACCACATGAAGAGGTGTGTCCAGTGTCTGTTTGGCCTTGAGAAAAACATCCTCTGAGCAAACGTACAAATCATTTTCATGAACTTTAACTCATTTATTAAGGCTGGTGAAAAGTGTTGGTAATCCTTATGTGTAGATTTTCTGTTCAGGAACCGGTAGAAATCAGCTCGTTGTGTCCCATCAGTTCAGTCAAAATAGAAAAGTAGATATGGCACTGCTCACCGGCAAACTAATTATATTGATCACCTATCCAACTGTAGTAAAATGCAAGCTTGACAACATTTCAAGCATTAGTCCCAGTGTTTGAGCCCCTGACCGGTGCTGCACTACACACAAGTGAGTGGGAGTGAGCTCTGTGCAAATAGCACTCTTTACTTTGTTCTATACTTATTGTGTTTGCTGCACTCTGGAGCAGAAGAGCACTTACAGAGAGCATTCATCAAATGTATTACTTTCTAAACGAATACACACTCATCACCAAAGCCACATGAAGAGGTGTGTCCAGTGTCTGTTTGGCCAAGGTACACTGTTTAATCCTGGGAGGAGAAGTCTCTCTTCATTATGTGTACTCAGACTAATTACACAGAGTTCTCTGTCAGCTCCGAGCCAGCTGATGTCCTTCATGTTTAACTTGTACTTCATGTGATCACGGGCATGCACAGTATGTGTTTTTGCATAGCTTAGTTGGAAATGGAATGACTTCCCTCCGCGACAGCCTTTCCCCTCTCCTCTTCTTCTTCTAATACACTATTTTTTGCTTGTTCATACTGGGTGGCTCCCTGCCTCAATAGCTCTGCTTATGCCTTGTTACTGCAAATTAACAGGGTGTGTTTGCCTTGTTATTTGTTTGAAACACATCATGGGTTGCACAATGGCTATTTGTGAATCAGCATGACAATCCCACAGAATCGATCACATGGCAAAACCCTGACGACACACCTTGTTTATAACAGCAGTGACAGCGATGCTGGTGTGTTTTGCGTTTGTGTCTGTCATCAGGGCAAAATGAACTCCTAGAAACATCTCATGTATAGGGAACTACCACATATGCTGTTTTGAGTACTTTGCTAGGTGTTTATATGTCTGTGGACAGATTTCGTATACAGCATACCATGCCTTATGCAGTCACAAAACATCACAGGTGTTTGGTTCAGATGAAGATGGGTGTGGTCCAGGTAAGGGCGCTGGAATTCGCGAGGTAGCAAGTTTCCCCAGTTTCCCCAGTTTAACACATTTTTACAAGTTGATAGGATTGATGGGTTAAGCAAATATAGTCATGTGTGAGCTGGAGTCAATTGCTTGAAATGTTGACTTATCAGTCAGTCCTAGACTTTCGTCCAGACTCAAAAGTCTCAAAAAATTTTTTCATGGATTTCCATGAAAGATTTTGCAGACATTAATCTTCCCCTAAGAATAAATCCTACTGATTTTTACAATGCCCTTACTTTTCCCATAGAGCCACCAGCGAGCTGATATTTAGTTTTTTAATGAAATGTCTCTCTTACATCATATTCTCTACACATATTGAATGGACGGCAATGTCATCTGTAATGACATTGCCGTCCACTTTGTTTCCTCAACCAAAATTATAAATAACTTGTGGTATGATACGAAACCTTCAAACCGAATGGCATTCCCAAAAGTAATGGCATTGTGTTCATTTCTAATTAGCAAATATTAGCATGCTAAAGTAAGATGGTGAACATGGTAAACTTTGTGCTACTGACCAAACACATGTCAGAAATATTCTAATGATAGTCATGTTATCATGCTTTAGTTATCAATTGGCCCAGCTGCCTCACAGCAGCGCCAAACACAACCCTGCGTAGACCATAAGTTTTGTTTCAATGTCCTTGTTTTGTAGTGGTTTTTTTTAGGTGTTCAATGTAATTTAATGTTCTGAGAGGACATTAGTGGGAACTATAAATTCACCCTGGCGCTTTTCCATGACCTCACCGCGTCCCTCATGTTTTGGCGTGTGTGTGTTGTCTCAGTCCCTTGTGTATCGAGTAAGCCGACTTGTCAACCATCCAGTGTCACTCTCAAACCCTTCTCTGCTTCTGCACATGTCTTTGAGCTAATCACTATCTTGTGCTGAATGTACCCCTCCTACCTCACCACAGAACCTGTGTGGGGATAATCCTCAAAGTCAAACAAGTTTTGTTCCTTCACAAGTGAGAGTTTCTCTTAAGATGCTCTTTGTCAACTTTGTTGCTAGAGGGAAATACTTCTTCAAAGAACCTATTTTTGGAAACTTGCATATTCTGTTGTAGCCGAAGATCAAGGTGTCGTATCCTATTACAGCTTGAAGACAATTAGTTTTCCAGTATCATGCAAGAGGTAATGCCTTGGATTTTGGAATGGATCCTAATAGTTTTAGCCGTCAAGTGAGGTAGAACATGGCATTTAATGTGCAGTCTCAAGGTTTATTATCAAAAATAATGTGATACCCATAAAGTGTTGTTCACACAGACTTGTTTTGCCTTGCTTCAAATTCCAGATTTAATTTGGATCATCACTCTAATTTAAATTCTTTCCAGATGGTTAGATATATTCGGCTTAGATTCAGCAGAGTAATGTTTTTGCATGGTAAATGTGTCATTAACCAGAGACTGTTACTTCCTGCTTTTTATCCTAATCAATAATGGATTTCTGTGACATTGACAGTTTCACTTAAAAGCACCCCTGCGGCTCATGTTACAGCCCTCAATCGTTACAATTCTGCCTATACAGGGATAATTGAGCAAGCACAAAACCACAAGAATGCAATTTATTGAGCCGTCTAAGCTATTTGAGTAAGGTATTCAATTCACAGAAAATCAATTTCTCATTTTCTCCAGACTGGCCTGAGGAATACATTGAACTTCCTCTTCAGTGAAGTTTATGAGGTTATCAGATCTTTTGTCACAAATATGTTCCAATGCTTGAAAGGAAGTCCTTTGTGTTGTTCTGGAATAAGATGTGTGGTCTCATGTTGAAAGAAATTTTCTGTCCTCGTCTGTCCCAAAAGCAATTTATCAGATTTTGAGATTCACTGTGGGGATTTTATTCTGACAGCATTGTAGGTCAAACTGATGGCTCTAACGGCAAACAGATAGTCGCTATAATGAAATAATCTTAGCTCCGTGTGTTGGACATTTTTGGCGTTACTATACAATAGTTGCTGTGTGCACCATGTATTGCTAAGACATTTTGTTATGAATATGTTTATCTGTATCTCAGAATCAGTTCTGCCATCTGATAACGTAAAATAATGAACTGATGTCAGTGAACATGATATGAATGAGCAGCTTGTTGTTCTGACACACTGTGAATAGTAATGCTTCAGCCTGGAGGAGGCCGAGCAGCCGATGCAGTGGAAGACCTCTAGATTTAGCTGTAGTTATGTAACCGTCTGTGTTGTGATGGCTTTACAACTGCAGCAAACGCTGAAGGCTGCTTAGCTGATGGTTTTGTGAACTCTGATGGTTACAGTGTTGCTTTGAGCTGCAAATTCAAAGGCAAGAAGGTTATGTCAGGCTTTTTTCTGTAGTATGCAAGAATAAAGACTTTTGCTTTTAAATGAATAGTGATGGTATTTTTACAATGGAGTCTAGATAAGGGCTTCAGTTTTCAAGACACTTTAGCAATACTACTCTTCCAGACCTATCGTCAACTCTGTCTTTCATTTTAAGCCACCTGCGATAATGCAGTTATTCAGCTTTTTTATTGTGTATTCACCGACATCACAATGACATGACAACCAGTATCAGGGATTTGTCTAAAACGGGTAACAGGGGCGCTGCACTCTCTTACTTTCGGTCCTCATACCAAAATGCGTAAAGTGATGCCAGAAAACCATATTTCTGTATCACTACTCCACAAATATGAAAATTGTGTCAAATAAACCGCCAGACTGCTTTATTTTTTACTGAGCTCCAACGTGGTGTTGTTGTTTACGTCTGCGGCGCCATCTTGCATGTTTTCGCCATGTTCTCGCGAGGAATTGATATCATGTATACAAGATCAATGCCACAGTATTGCCCTCATACTATATTTTGCTAGAATAACCCCTGAGTATGAATTGCCAATGAATGAATGAAAAACTAGGAGTAAATGCACATTGCTGCAGCACATTAGCCTGTCTTTTCCATTCTCCTGTGTAAGTGCTAAAGGGCAGCCTTAACATTTACACAAACGGCTCTTTCTTTGCCCATCTGCGTGCTGGTTGACTCACTGATGTTTTTCTCATCATGGTTGTTCTTGTTTGTCGAGCCAAATTATACAACCAATGTTATGTATTTATGCCTATTCCTTCAAGTAATCGTGTTTTTTTTTTTTTTGGATAACCTGACCTTACATTTTGCTCAAAGTCATAAGCTTCTCATAGCTTTTCATTTATTAAACCTTAATCTAACCGGGGGCACTCACATTCAGAATGAGGCAAGTTCTGGTCAAGAAAGCTGCACACACACGGTAATTGCCTGAGTTTAAGCCTCACCAGGGACAGCATTTATACTCATGTGTGACCAAACTTGCTTGATAGCCTGTCTGAGTTGTCTGGCCTGAAAGCAGACCAAACATACTTTTAATTATGTGACCCGCTTATTGTTTTTGGTCATCGTTTGCTTAGTGTACAGCTTGTCTCAACTGGTTAACTGAAAAAAACAGTCC